GTCTCTCAGAAACTTAGCAAGCAAGACTGTCTCGAGATAAAAAAATAAAAATAGGCTGGGGATGTGGCTCAGTGGTAAAGTGCCTCTGGGTTTAAACCCCAGTACCTAAAAAAATATATTTCTTTTCTGTAATTAAAGCCTTTGTGCCGTCTGTTGTGAGGTGATGAAGAGATTCAAACAAGGACTCAGGTATTTAGTAGACCTGCCTTTAATTAGGACCACTTTGGATTCTGTAAGGAGATTCTACCTCCAACTAAAAAAATAAATATTTTTTTAAAAAACAGTGTTTTGGGAATCAGGTGTGGTGGCACACACCTGTAATCCCAGTGGCTTGGGAGGCTGAGAAATGAGGATCACAAGTTCAAAGCCAGCCTCAGCAATGGTGAGGAAGCAACTCAGTGAGACCCTATCTCTAAATAAAATACAAAATAGGGCTGGGATGTGGCTCAGTAGTTAAGTGCCCCTGCGTTCAATCCCTGGCTCCACCCCCCCACCAAAAAAAAAAAAAAAGTGTTTTGGGAAAGATAAACAAAATGAAAAAATGGAAAAACCATTTTTGCTTTGAAAAATTCAATGCAAGTATATTTTACTGTTTATAACCATATTAAAACTTAAACTTGACCAAACAAGTCTTTTTTAATAATTTACTCTAGGGACTCTGGTTTTTACTCTATCTTCTTTTTTTTTTTTTTGGATTTAAAGACAGGGTCTTGCTAAGTTGCTTAGGGTCTCACTAAATTGTTGAGGCTAGCTTTGAACTCATGATCCTCCTGCCTCAGCCTCTTGCACCACTGGGATTACAGCAGTGCGCCACCATACCAGGCTCTTCATACATTCTAATCAAATCATCTGGAATATTTGTAAGATGTTCTCTTTACCATCAGAATGCACTGCCAGTGAAGACTATAAAAGGTAGAACACCTTTTTTTGGAGTACAGATAGAAATTATTTAAAAGTTTTTATGAAAATCTATAATAAACTAATTGTAGAATTTTTATATTAAACACCTGTTTTGAAGGGGGGAAGACCTGAGGATGTAACTAAGTGAAAAAGACCCCCTGGGTTCAAGTCCCAGTACCAAAGAAAACAAAGAAAGGTGTTTCCAGATATTTTTCTTATTTATAGGAAGCAGGGCAATTGATGGGAGATCCTGTCAGAAATTTACTTGCAAATGAAAAAGGCTTTTGTACTGGACTTGCAACTTTTCTGTAAGTTTAAAAATGTTAAAGAAAATTATATTCTTTGTTTTAATAATTCATGACAGGATATTATACTAATAAGACAAATATGGATGGTTTCAAAGATTTGCAAGAAGAAAAATCACTTAAGCTGTGTCATGTTAGTAAATTGGTGGGGAAAACACTTAGCACCTAACAGAAGGTAAATTATTTTAAAACAATTAGTATGCTTCTACTATGGAGTACTGCACAGCCACAATAAATGATTTGGTCAAGTTATATTTACTTCCATATATAGAAGTCCATGATACATTAAGTGAAAAGGATTATAAAGTGATACTATGATACAATAAAGGTTTTTTTTTTTCAAAATCCTGTATATTTAAGGGTAGCATTAAAAAAAAAGATTTCCATTAAGATTAGGAACAAGATAGGACTGACCTATAGAATCATCTCCATTCAACATTACCTTGGAGATTATAAAGTAAGGAATAAAAAAATTAAATATTGGAAAAGATAAGTAATCCCAGGAACTCAGAAAGCTGCAGAAGGAGGATCTTAAGTTTGAGGTCAGCTTCAGTAACTTAGTGAATCTCATAGTAACTTAGCAAGACTGTCTCAAAATAAAAAAAATAAAAATAGGCTGGGGATTTGGCTCAGTAGTAAAGTGCCTCTGGGTTCAATCCCCAGTACTTAAAAAAAATATTTATTTTCTGTAATTAAAGCCTTTGTGAAATAAATATAGAAATATAGAAAACTAAGAAACATCTGGGTGTGGTGGCATATGCCTGCAATCCCAGTGACTCAGAAAGCTGAGACAGGAGGATTGCCAAGTTTAAATCCAGCATCAGGGCTGGGGATGTGGCTCAAGTGGTAGTGCGCTTGCCTGGCATGCATGCGGCCCGGGTTCGATCCTCAGCACCACATACAAACAAAGATGTTGTGTCCGCCGAAAACTAAAAAAATAAAATATTAAAATTCTCTCTCTCTCTCTAAAAAAAATAAAATAAAAAATAAATAAATCCAGCATCAGCAACTAAGCTAGTCTCTAAGCAACTTACAAGACCTTGTCTCAACATTTAAAAAATAAATAAATAAAAAGAGCTGGAATGTGGTTCAATGGTTAAGTGCCCCTGGGTTCAACTCCCAGTACCAAAAACAAACAAACATAAATAGATGAATTTCTTAAAATTACAAATGCCCCAAACTAAATTTATTAATATTTAACCACTGACCAATAGTTATCTGTCCAGTTTTTTTTTAAAGAGAGAGGGAGAGAGAGAGAGAATTTTAATATTTATTTTTTAGTATTTGGCGGACACAACATCTTTTTATGTGGTGCTGAGAATTGAACCTGGGCCGCACACATGCCAGGCGAGCGCGCTACCGCTTGAGCCACATCCCCAGCCCTATCTGTCCAGTTTAATGTCAAATATATCAAAGCCTCTTTCCAGCGAGGCATGGTGGAGCACACCTATAATCCCAGCAGCTTGAGAGGCTGAGGATCCCAAGTTTGATGTCAGCCTTAGCAATTAGCAAAAAAAGTTAGCAAGTCTCAAAATAAAAAATAAAAAGGGCTGGGGATATAGCTCAGTAGTGGAATGTCCCTGGGTTCAATACCCAATAGCGCAAAAAAAAAAAAAAGCCTCTTTCCTCTTTGTCTTCAATGATTTAAACAAAGATTAAACTAATTGTTTTATATATCTAAATGCACTAATAAGTAGTATGTTTTATGTCAGTTTCCCTTTTTCATCTGATCTCCAATTTAGGAAGGAACTTGTTTTCAACTTTAAGTTCAGAATTGATTGTTTGGAACTCAACTAATTTCCCCTAGAAATCCTAACAGTAGTGAAGTTTCCTGCTTAGCTTAGAAAGGAGCTAATTTAACCCATAATGCACACATTGGTCAGTACCAATATAATATATATACATTAGAACCAAATTCTCATTGACAAAAATGTTACTAAGGATAAAATACCTCTAGTGTTCCAATGTGAGAAGTCAAACACATGCCTTCTTTCTTCAATTTCCTTTTTCCCAACCACTCAACTCAAGACTACTAAGAAAGGACAGATATTTCTAACTTTTCTCACTCCCAAACCCTGGCATGGCTGGTAGTGTCCTAACCTGAGAGGCAGTAGCAGTACTAGGATATAGTTATGTTACTCTTCACTCTGCCCAGTGCCTAAGAGTGAGGAGAACAGGTAGAATTAGAAAGTTCATATATGTCTGTATATACATGATAAATTCATATATATTCACAGATTCATTCACCTATATACTCTTCCACTCTATAAATGTTAGGCTTGGACATGTGGCAATGGAACATAAGTGAATGTGAGCTATATTCCACACATCTAAGCAGAGGGGGGTTTTTTGGTTTGTTTATTTATTATCTTTTTTTTAAAATTTGTTCTAATTAGTTACACATGACAGTAGAATGCATTTTGACACACTATACACAAATGGAGCACAACTTCTCATTCCTCTGGCTGTACATGGTGCAGAGTCTTACTGGTAGTGTAATCATACATGTATATAGGGTAATAATTTCTGTCTCATTCTACTGTCCTTCCTATCCCCACAGTCCCACCCCTTCCCCCACTCCCCTTTGCACAATCCTAACTTCCTTCCTTCTTCCCCTGACCCCCTGTTTTTGTTTTTTTTTCCTGGTTTTGAACCCTGGGGCTCAAGAGATCCTTCCACCTCAGCTTCCCAAGAGCTGAGGCTATGGACTGATACTTGCCATAATGTTTGGCTCTAAGCACTTGTATGCTCTGACTTTGTCTTTTGTGCACTTGCCCTCAGCCTTAGAAAAAAAGCCACTGGAATTTGAGGAGTTGTTGGTAAAAAAGCAGGATGATTTAGGAATTTATCTTCATCTGATTCATCTCTCTGTTAAGAAAAGACCTTATAGCTCATCAAAAGGTACTATACTGGTGTCAAAAACAGTAACCAAAGCTAGAAAGGGCAGAGGTAGGAGAGGTAGACAGTGCTGTACTCTAAAGAATTACAGAAAATATTCTCTCTAGTACCCTTATCTCTTGGCTAAATTTCTTTAATAATTTTTTTATTGCTCCACTCCATGTGTAAGCTGGACATGGTGGGCACATGCCTATAATCCCATCCACTTGGTGGCAGGAGGATCCCAAGTTTGAGGTCAGCCTCAGCAATTCAATGGGACTCTAAGCAACTTAGCAAGACCCTATCTCAATACCACCTATATACAAGAATAGGGCAAAGGTAAAATTAATAAACAAAATCAAATATAGATGTAAGTTGGAAAAACTGCTACTAAATTAAACTTTCAAATATCTTGACTCACACCTAAAAAATGTGGAATAAGATAGTTCCAGGTGAGCCTCACTAACTCAGTGAGGCCCTAAGTAACCCAAGAAGACACTGTCTCAGAATAAAAAATAAAAAGGGCTGGGATTGTGGCTCAGTTGTTAAGTGTCCTTGGGTTCAATTCCTGGCACAAAAACAATAACAAAACAACAACAACAAAAAAATCAAGCCAGGCATGGTGGATAATCCTAGCTCCTAAGGAGGCTGAGGAAAGAAATCGCAAGTTCAAGGGCAGCCGTGGCAATGTAATAAGAGTGTCCCAAAATAAAAAGGGGTGCAGATGTAGCTCAGTATAGAGTACTTGTCTACAATGTATGAGGCCCTCGGTCAATCCCCAGTAGAGGGATTGAAACAAACCAGGTAAGACTTTACATAAATGAAAACTGACAACAAATCTAAAAAACAATTTAAATACACAAATAATATATACTCAAAACAAAAAACGAACCACTCAAAATTAGCATTCAGACTTACCGTAATAGGAGTTCTTTGGGAAGTTTTTTATTGATTACAGCTTCATCACTATTTGAGAACATCTGCAAAAACAAAATCACTGTCAACAGTGTCAAGTTTACTTAACATTTTATACTATATTCAACTCAATAGTTCAGAGATAATCCTCCCAGGAGACTTAAAAAAATTATAGTGGACATTGTAAGCCTAAATAGTATTTTCAGAGATGCTTTGGGCTTCAAAAAAGTTTTGAGGCATTTCATTCCATCTTTTGAGATAAAGAACTAACAGAAAAAAGTGCTGGGGGCTGGGATGATGGCTCGTGGTAGAGCGCTCACCTAGCACAAATATATAACAAGTTCCATAATTATTTACAATTATAATGTACTAATAAGAAATGTGGAAAAATGTAATGTAAAACTTGAAAAATAAAAGTGGGAAAAATAAATAATAGAAGAATATTATGTGCCAGATACTGCTATAAGTGTTTTTCATGTATTAGTGTTTTTAAGTCTTCATGCCATTCTTCACTTTCAAGATAAGGAATTACAAAAGGTTACTGCTCAAGGTCACATTATTGCAGAGTGATTACTTTAAAATGACCACACCTGACTTGCATTTACTTTTTCAAGGAGATATTCAGAATCCTGGAATGTGTCTCTTTTGTGTTTAAGATACAACATGCAGAAAACTGCTTTCTAACCACTGCCATTAAGTATCCACAATGAGTACTTTTAAACACAGCTACCATTTTTGCCACAAAGGTGTTCATAATCTAAGCTTGTCTAGTAAGGCCATGTAAAAAAGCAAATACATATATCGAGTAAAAAGTACTGTAAAAATCAACAAATACACATGCCACTGAAGCCAATTTAAATTCAATCCCTGCTATTAGTATTGCAAAAATTCCTCTTGATTTCATGTAATGAACATTACTGACACCCTGTAAATATCAGGCACTTTTCTAGGCAATGAGACACAAAGATATCTCTGTCCTTAAAGAGCTCTTGCTCTACAATAAAGAAAACAGAAACAAATAATTCACTTATTGAGATGTATATCAAAACAAAAGATGGGACAACTAATTCTGCCTGCAGATATATCTAAATTGGTTCTTAAAGGAATATCAAAATTAATTAGGAAAAAAAGGAGAGTGATAACACACAAACAAGAGATTAACAGTACAAAATAAAGGAGCCATAAGAAGGTCCAGATAGTTCATTAAAATTCAAAGTAGAGAAACTAGTGAAGGGGAAGCAGATGGGAAGGAGAAACAATGAATAGAATGCAGTACCCCATCTCAGATATTTAAAGATTAATTACATAATAAATATTTTCTAATAACTTTAATAAAATACCTTCCACATAAATGGAAAGCTCTTGGAGGGTACACAGTATGCTGTCACATATACCATATTTCCAGGGCTGAGTACAATGCCTGATATATTGTTGAACTCAATAAATCTAATGAATTAATTGTTAAGCATGGTGGGGCTGGATCATGAGGAAACTTATATACCAGGCTAGAAATTTGAAACAACAAAGTAGGGAAGAAGAATCTGAAAAAATTAAACTGAACTCCAGAATGGTAGTGAGAAGATATAGCCACTGAAATTATAATACAAGTAGAAGACGATGCTGGGGCAATGGGAATAAATAAAGAAACTGAAGGAAAGTATTCTCTCCTCATCCCATATTAGGGATATGTACCACTGAGCTACATACCCATCCCTTTTTTTTCTTTTCTCTGGCTAAATTGTCCAGGCTGGCCTCAAATTTGCTAGTCTTGGCCTCCCAATAGCTAGGATCACAAGCATGAGCTATCACCCATGGCTTGAAGATAAGGATTCTTAAAAGAAGCAATAATACTTGGTGACCAAAAGTAGGATCATTTAGCAACTATCAGTGCAACAGATTACAGAAATGAGAGTACTGACAATTAAGTTCTTCTTCTTCTTTTTTTTTTGTGGTACTGAGGCTCAAACCCAGGGTCTCATGTATCCTAGGCAAAGTGCTCTCCCACTGAGCTACATCCCCAGCCTGAAAATAAATTCTTTAGAAAATTATCTTGCTATTCTCCTGCCTCAGTCTCCCAAGTCACTGGGATTATAGGGGGTGCCACCTCACCCAGCCCTGAGTACACCTATAATTAAGTACGAATACATAAAATTGTCATGTATTTTAAAAGTTAAATAATCAAGGACAGATGATATAACTAACATCTTGCAAAAATAGCTAGAATATCAAAGATTACGACCTAAGGTTGGACTGTAAACAACACACATTAATAAGCTTGAGATCTCCAGGGTGGGAAATGAAGTCTGTAAAAGCAAAATATTATCACTAAATATCCAACCTCTTAGCACTATGCCCAATTCAAAACTACAAAAAGTAGGGCTGGGGATGTGGCTCAAGCGGTGGCGCGCTCGCCTGTCATGCGTGCGGCCCGGGTTCAATCCTCAGCACCACATACAAAGATGTTGTGTCCTCTGAAAACTAAAAATAAATATTAAAATTCTCTCTCTCTCTCACTCTCTCTTTAAAAAAAAAAAAAAAAACAACTACAAAAAGTAAAGTATCAACTGGGTATGGTGGTGCACACCTATAATCCCAGCTCCTCAGGAGACTGAGGCAGGAGGATTGGAAGTTCAAGACCTCAGCAATTTAGTGAGATCCTTTTTCAAAATGAAAATGAAAAAGGGTTAAGGGTATGCATATCTGGGTTCAGTTCCCAGTAGCAGAAAGGGAAAGAGAAAAAAAAAAAAAGGCATAATCATTATTCTGTATACTCAAAGTGTTCTATTAAATGCTATGTCTCTCCTAATAAGATACTCTGCTCCTTTGAATACATGGTAATGTAAATTAAAAAATAAACATGCTGGGGCTGGGGTTGTGGCTCAGTGGTAGAGTGCTTGCCTAGCATGTTTGAGGCACTGAGTTTGATCCTCAGCACCACATAAATGTAAAATAAAGATGTTGTGTCCACTTAAAACTAAAAAATAAATATTAATAAAATAAACATGCTATATGTTGTTCACATGATTTCTTCTTTAACTGTAGATATAAAACAAAAGAACAAAAAATTTAAAAGTTTATATTTTCCTAGTACAGTCTATTATATAGACTGCATGTTGCTGCCTCTATAAGAGTATGATGGTATGTGAAGAAGGGGAAAGGGACACATAAACCTGGGAATATCTGGGAAACAGCACATGTATGGGATATCTATGCAGATTTATATATCCCTCACTCCTTCCTTTTGCACATAAGTATCCTACTTTAAGTTTGTAAAGAATAGATCAGTGGTTCACAAAATGTGGTCCTCTGACCAAGGGCATCAGCGTTAACCACAGAACTTGTTAGAAATACAAATTCTTGGGTTGGACCCCAGACCTATAGAATGAGTACCTGGGGGAATGGTAGAGGAAGGGAAATGGAGGCAATCTGTACCTTAAAAAAACTTCAAGGTGATATGATGTACCCTAAAACGTGAGAACCAATGGACCAGAAAAATTAGATCGAGAGTCTCAGAACTCAAGAATTTACACTTCTAACAAAACCAGTGTCACCAGCTGTCCGCAGGCTGTGTGTGGATTGTGTTACACATAGTAGCCTCTTGAAGGGATAGGCTTGGCTCTGCAAACTCCCTGTCAGGGACTGAATACATGATACAGGTGCGGCTCCGCCTCAGCTCTGCCTAAAATCCCACACACCACCTGAGATGGATGTGACTCACCATGATGTCAATCAATCTGCTGACCAGGAGACATCACTAAACAAGACTCTACCCTTGAAACCTTATCCCCCTCTGATGTCTCTGCTATAAAATAAAGAAAACTTGGGGCTCACTGTCTCTTTTCCAGGGTTCTGTCCAGTGTGGAAGCTGATCCTTAAGGTCGCAGAGCTCTCTCTCCCTCAACTGGAAAACTTTTGAAAACTACTCTCTGTGTGTCTTTTCTTGGCTTTCTTAGCTTAATATTGCAGCCAGCTCTTTTAAACCAAGTTCATCTTTGTGTGTGGGTCATTGGCGAGAAAAGAGAACATTTAACATCAATTAAATGTAGCAATGGATCTTAGGAAATAACCTTAGAAGGTAGACACAAAGCAATATTAAATGCTTTATCTAGTAAACCCTTTCTAGTAAACTATTTTTCATAAAACAATGGTTCACAGAATTGACAGAATATAACTGTTGCAGTTATTTTACTATTTCAGCTGAACACAAATTCTAAGTTTCTCACACAAAAACATAAAGGGGTGTCAAAACATTTTGGATCAAGGCATTACAACAAATTTGTGAAAAATTTTAGGCATATTATTTATAGGCCAGTGAATAAAAGTTTAACATTTGACATTCTTTCATAATCTGATTTTATTTTCTTAATATTTATTTTTAAGAGACAGGATCTTTCTATGTTGTCTAGGCTGCTCCTGAACTCCTGGGCTCAAGTTATCTTGTCTTAGCCTCCCAAGTAGCTGAACTAGAGGTATATTAGTATTATATGAACGTACAGATATATAATAATATATTTTTGTAATCTACTCACAATTACAAGGAAGCAGTCATAGGAAAAACATGAAGCAACTATAATGTTCATTCCTTATTGTTTCAAGGAAGTTCAACATAACCTAAGTAAGCAGATACTATCAAAAGTCGTCTTTTAGGAATAGAATTGTCTTAAATATGCAGGTTCTTAAAAACTAAGTGTTTGAGCCACGCACAGTGGCACACACCTATAATCCCAGTGGCTTGGGAAGCTGAGGCAGGAGAATCACAAGCTCAAAAGTAGCCTCAGCAAAAGCGAGGCGCTAAGTTCAGTGAGGCCCTGTCTCTAAAGAAAATACAAAGTAGGGGTGGGGATGTGGCTCTCTTGTCAAGTGCCCCTGAGTTCAATTTCCAGTACCAAACAAAACAAAACAAAAACTAAGCGATTTGAGCTGGGCGAAGTGGTGCATGCCCATAATTCCAGCAGCTTGGGAGCCTGGAGTATCACAAATTCAACGTCAGCCTCAGCAACTTAGCAAGGACCCAAGCAATTCAGTGAGATCCTGTCTCTAAATAAAATACAAAACAGGACTGGGA